CTTCAACGGCCCCTGAGCACGAAACGGGCCTCCGCATGCAGAGCCCGAGCCGAGTGCGACAGCGTGAGCCGTGGAGCTCTGGAACCGAACCGGCCGGATTCGCAACGTTGCTGGAACTGACACGGTGCTCTCCTTTGCTTTCGGCATCCCTGGCGGGGCAACACCATGACGTCAGCGCGACGCTCACCGCCACCGCCGCCGGCGCCGTAGCAGCCCCGGCCGGAGCGACGAGGCCTCCCAGATGGGGTCCGAGTAGGTGGGGTCGGGGAGGAGGAGGAGGAGGAACAGGAGGAGAAGGATGAGGACGAACAGGAGGAGGAGGAGCAGGAAGAGGAGCAGGGGGAGGAACAGGGGGAGGAACAGGGGAAGGAGGAGGAGGAGGAGGAGGAGGAGGAGCAGGAAGAGGAGCAGGGGGAGGAACCGAAGGAGGAACAGAGGGAGGAGTAGGAGGAGGAGCAGGAGAGGAGGAGCAGAAGGAGAAGGAGAGGAGCAGGAGGAGGATGAGGAGGAGGAGGAGGAGGAGAAGGAGGAGAAGGTGGAGGAGTTGGAGAAGGAGGAGGAGGAGGAAGAGGATGATGATGATGAGGAGGAGGAGGAAGAGGAGGAGGAGCAACGGAGATCCGGCTCGATGTGGAGTCCAACTTCAGACTTGGTCGACGCTCGGATATTCGGCAGTGCTGACGCGCCGCTTCCGCGGACGCTTCCGCCGACGCTTCGGCGACCGCCGAGCGAGATGGTGAAGAGGCACTGCCAGTGCGTGCGCGTTCGACGCCCCCAGAGGCCCAAGAAGAGCCAAAGACGTCGTCGTTGTCGTCCTCCTCCTCCTCCTCCTCCTCCTCCTCCCTCGGCCCTCCTTCCGTCCCCCTCCCCCCTCCTCCCCCGCCTGCTCCACGAGCTCGCCCCCCAGACCCCGCGCGTCTGGAGGGGAGCCTCGCCCCCGCCTCGTCCCAGAACTTTGGTGGTCCTCGAGCCCTGGCCCGAACACCCGATGGATTGCCGTTTCCATCCGCGGGCCCCCAGTTTGGACGCCCGAGGGCGACGAGATCTATACATATCCACTGCTCCTGGCCAGGCCCATCCTGGGCCCAGGAGCTGTGTATATGCCTCCCTGGCCAGGCCAGGAGGGCGTATACACCGCTCCTGGGCCCAGGATTGGCCTGGCCAGGAGCAGTGGATATGCATAGATCTCGTCGCCCTACGAAATGGGTACGGAAAGAATGGGTGCAATGCCCAACAACAAATGTTGTCCCAAACCAACAGCGGCCGCTGTTGGGCGGGCGGCCTCCTGTCTCGAATGGACACAGGCCGCGGCGGCGCGGACAGCGAGTCCTGTTCAGAACGAACAAGAACTGCTGCTGGGCATCGTGCCCATTCTTTCCGTGCCCATTTCGGGCGTCCAAGCCAGGGTCTCGGCCAGCTCCCTGGGGGCACCCTCCCGCCCCAGAGGCACTTCCGAGGGCCCCCGGGGGCCGGACGAGAACTGCCCCCCGAGGGTCGAAAAAGCGAAGGAAAAAAGCGCCAGGATTGGTCAGATCCATCCGCCCGAAGTCTGGGATCCTCCCCCCTCCCAGGAACCATTTTTTTTGTTGAGGGAGAAGATGGGAGCAGTCACCGAAACTGTACACCACGCGGCTGGGGCGGACAAATCCTGCCCCCCAAGACAGGCAGCGGCCAAGATGTGGTGTTCGACTATACTATTGCATGGTTTCGCCATTGCAAGACCACTTCGCCCCCCTCCCAGGAACCATCAACATCGAATCGGCATATTGCCTCGGGTCGACCTGAGTCGACGCGGGGTCGAAATCGACGTCTGGATCGGCTGCGCCAAGATGTGCATATCAGCTCCATGTGAGAATGGGGCCACATCGACCGATCGTCACGGCACTCCTGTTGGCCTAGCACGACTGTTTTCAGAGCAAAAGAATGCTGCCATAAGAATAGCAATGCTAATGTTCGTAGGCCATACAGCTGACGTGATGATAAAAATAACGAAACGCCATAAACATTGACTTTCGACGGTCCGCGCAGATTTCTTGGATCTGCGCTGGACCCCCCTCCCTGTCGCGCGGAGCGCGCCAGGGACGGCGTCGCAGGCGCCGCTGGGGGGGGGCCAGCGCGGATCCAAGAAGTCCGCGCTGAGCGCCACAAGTTTATGTTATGGCGTTTTTTCTTCTTCGAGCTAACGCAATGCTGTCTCAGCTAGGCATGTTCTGGTGTCACGTCGGGCAAACCACAGCAGCACGTCAGAACATTCCTTGCTGGGCCTGCAACCAGGCCTGGACGCCTCGCCACTGACAAAAAATATCGCATCGCCGCAACCCTCGGAATCGAATCGGACCGGGCCGGTCGACATATATCGAACGGGGTCGATCGGATCGATGACCTCCCCCTCCCCTCACGGAAGGGGCCCAGGGACACACGCGCAAGTAAATAGACACGAATCCCAGGATTCCCATGTTTTCCCCTATCCTCTGGATTTTCGTTCCCCCCGCCCCCCCCACTTTCCACATGCCCTCATCTTTTCCGGGGGATCGAAGATTCTTTGTGCGTTTTTTTGTTTGCTCTTCTTCTTCTATCCTGGCTCATTCCCGCTGCCGCCTCCTTGCCGCCCCTCCAGTCGTTGGTGCGGTGCCCCTCCCCCTCCCGCGGCAGACGCAGAAGGGGGGGTGTGCGCGGCGGCCCGCCGGCGGGGGAGGCGGCCTTCCAGGAGGGGAAAGATGGCCCGCCCGCTCCTCAACAGAAACCCTCCTCCCCCTGATCCCCCTCCTCCCCCTCCTCCTCCTCCTCCTCCTCCTCCGCCTCCTCCTCCTTCTCTTGCTTCGACAGGAAGCCCCTCCCCAACTTGGGGCCCGAGCAGACGGGGCCGGAGGATCGCGCCGCAGCGCCGATGCGTCTGCGACGTCGGCGGTGCATCGGCGCAGTCGGCGTGGAGAGGGTCGGGCTCCGTTTCCAGGCGCATCGGCGATGCCTCGGCGGTGCCTCGGCGATGCGCCGATCCCATCTGCTCGGGCCTCACTGGGGAGACCTTGGGAGGCCTGGATTGTAACAGAAGGCAGGGAAG